AGGCTTTCTGCAAGTCTATCTTAATCCTGCATCTATCTGAAATGTGTTCCCTTGGGTAAGCTTTAACCAATTCATGAGCCATGACAATATTATCTGCAATTCTCCTCCCTGGTATAAATCCAGCCTGATTTTCACTAATGACACTAGCAATCACCTTCTGCATTCTTGCTGCTAGTATTTTGGAGATCATCTTATAGAGAAGAGTGCATCAAGCAATAGGTCTGAAGTCCTTCACTGTGACTGGCTTGTCCACCTTGGGGATTAGTGTGAGAGTAGTGCAGTTGAGTGCCTTATACAGTCTCCCAGTACTAAAGAAATCTTTAACAGCTTCACATATCTCCACTTTGATAACAGGCCATGCCTTCTTGAAAAAGCAAGCATTATACCCATCTACTCCTGGAGCTTTATCCTCTCCTATATGCTTCAGCCCTTCAAGTATTTCTTGGTCAGATATATCTGCAACTAGTTGCCTTCTTTGCTGCTGGGATAACACAGGCCCTTTCTTCATGATCTCCCTGTTTATTGAGGGTAGTTTTGTTGCTGCAGTCCCCATCAATGATTTATAGAAATCAGTGATTTCCTGTTTGATCATATCAACATCATTCAACTTCTGACCATCTAGAGCTGTAAGCTCTTTAATCTGCTTCCTTTGGTTTCTTTCCTTCAGTATAGCAGAGAAGTATTTTGAATTTGATTCCCCAAGCTTAATCCATCTTACTCTAGATTTTTGCTTTAGGACACTTTCCTCAATACGTGACCATTTTTTCAGCTGCTGCAGAGAATTTTTCTCTTGTTCCATCAGGTCATCAGTATAGTTAGTGCTAATCCTCTCTTATATCTCTTGAAGTTCTCCACGAGCCTTATCAATCTTGGAAGCAATATGTTTAAACTCCTCATTATTTAATACTTTAAGTCTAACTTTCAAAGCTTTCAATTTCAACCATATGTTCTGCATTCTCCATCCTGTCACATTCTGCTCCCATACTTCTTGCACTATCTGTACAAATTTGCTATGATCTACCCATACATTTAGAAATCTGAAAGGAATATTGCCTGGCCTTGAATTCACAGAAATTGATAAAAGCATAGGTGAGTGATCAGATATTTGTGGCAACTCATATTCATTCTGAACTTGCCCCCATTGCATCATCCACTCAAAATTTCTAAACATTCTATCAATCCTGCTTCTGATTCTGTCAGTGCCCCCTTGTTTGTTCGACCAAGTGTAAAAATCACCCTTCCATATCAATTCACTCAACTGCAGAGTTTGAATGCAGTTAGCAAAGTCTTGAGTTTCAGCATATGTTACAGGATTGCCCATTAGTCTATCTTGGGAATAAAGAACTGCATTGAAATCCCCTCCAAATAGCCAAGGACTGGTTATATTTGCAGCTAATTGATGAACCTCTACCCATAATGTCTTCCTTTGCTCTAGTGTGTTATGTCCATAGACAACTGTTATTAGGCAGTCTATCTTTCCTACATTATCTGTAACTTGACAATGTATATATTGATCCCCAGCTTTGAGTAATTGCACAGTAAACCATCTTGGATCCCATAAGACCCACACCCTACCATTTTGAGCATATTGGTAGTTATTTATCCCTTCCCAATCAGGTGCAATGGCTTTGCTAACTCTCCTGAAATTATGTTCTTTCGTATTTCTCATCTTTATTAAGTAGTAATATTTTGATTGCGAAACTTTCATCATAAGGTTTACCGTTTCTTCAAGTTTGATATTTGCAAACGGAAACTATATTATTTGAACTTGGACGGTTTAGATTTTATATTTTTATGTTTGGACATGTTATTTTTAACGATTATTTTTTAAACTTTCACCCATGATTAATAATAGAAATTGTATTTTAGATATTTTACATCATTACTTCTTATTCTCTATAATATTCATTTTTCTCGCCATTCAAATATAAATATTTGATTATGTCAAGTTGTCAACTAACTTATATAACACACCTGAATAATCAAACCCGAAAAAATCGAAACGAAAAGAGAAAACCAGACCAAGCCAAACTTATTTTGGTTTAGCTTGGATTGCATTTTTTCAAAAAAAAAAAAAAAAAAAGCAAACAATGTAAAACTAACTACCCCTAAAAATTTGATAATACACCTCTAGCGTCCCGTGTCCGGAACATATGCACACTCATCTTTACTCCTATTTTTTTGGCTAAGCTTTTTGAAATCAAAAGCATTTTAAAAAAAAAAAATTATAAAAAGCTGAGATATTCGGCAAAAAAAAGTGATTTTTTTTTTGGACAAAAGTAGAAACAATTTTTTTTAAAGGTAAGTACCCTTGTCAACAACTTTTACTCACAAAACTACCAATTAATTTATTTCAAATGGAAAATCAATTAATTATTACAACGTTATCCCACCATCGTGATTTTTCCTTCATTATCTCCCAACCTTTTTATTATTTCTTTCATTCTACAAAATGAATACTTTTTTCATGTTGTAAAAAAGGTAAAAAAAATTTAACCAAAAAAAAGAGTGTTTTTTTAGTTATGTAGCACAAATTTTAACGTTGTTTTTGAGTGAAAAAGTAAGGCAGCACATTAATCCATTTTGGGTTTGTGTGAATTTTTAAATTAAATTCTTGAAGAAAATAAACTCCTACAACGTTGGGTATGTAGAGTTTGGGGGGGGGGGGGGAGGGGAGGGGAGGGAAAGCACAGAAAACATGGGGATTTGGGAAAATGGAGTAAGGAAATTAGCATTATAAAAATTCTAAAAATATTATCTAGTCTCTAAACAAACACTAGAAAATATTTTCCAAAGAAAGTTTTTCACTCACCAACGAAACATGAAAAATAAGTGATAAAGCCAATCATTTTTTAGGAAAACATTTTCCATGGAAAATATTTTCCTTCATACTAAACACACCCTAAATGTGATTTATAAGTCGCATTCTGCAAATACGATTTATATGTCGCTCACTAAATGCAATTAATTAGCCGCATTCACATTGTGAGTTGGATGTCGCACTCACCAATTGAGAGATGTAATATGAATTCTTATTTCTCCATTTAAGCTCAACTCACATCTCATTACATCAAACAAAATAGAATATATATATATATATATATATATATATATATATATATATATATATATATATATATATATATATATATATATATATGATGTGTGTGTGCGCGCGCGCGCGCGCATGGATCTTTTTATTTCATCATATCCTATCGTTAGCACAATTTATATTGATTCAAAGGATTTGTAGGTCTTGCGAGACAAGAGAAAACAAGAAAGAAAATATAATAAACTCAACAACAAAGCAAGAAACATTGACATTCTCCACAATACCATCAAAGAGAACATGATGGCAGATGTAATCCATTTTATAATTGAATACCGAAAATTAGATGAAATTCGCTCTTTCTTTTGTTGGACTTATAATTATGCGTACAAGGGAAAAGGAAAATCAACTTAAAAATGGAAAAAAAAGATTGGTGCATACACAGTTTCTAAATCCAAAAATTGGTGCGAAAAGGAACAGGAAAAGGAAATAGAGAATGTCATAACAATTTCAATCATGCTAGAGTAAAGTATAAATTTCAATAAGTTCAAAGGAAAAAATGACCAATAAATATTATTTATACGATTTTCAACACCATATTTATAATCCAATAATGCCACGATTATTTATTGGTGTGGGAGATTTCTTTTCCAACAGTAAAGGAATGTGTCCATCTCTAAGGAAGAAATGTGAATCATTTTCTACACAATGGTGATAAGATCACATCTGCACTAAGAGAGGTTTGTGAGTTCGAGTCACCCCAAAAGCAAGGTGGGGAGTTCTTGGAGGGAGGGAGCCGTGAGTGTCAACTGAAAACAGCCTCTCAACCCCAGAGTAGGGGTAAGGTCTGCGTACACACTACCCTCCCCTTAGAGTAAGGGTAAGGTCTGCGTACACACTACCCTCCCCAAACTCCAGTGGTGGGATTATACTGGGTTGTTGTTGTTGTAGTAGTATCTGGTAGCCCTATCCCTTGATGTGTTGTAGGAGATTTCAATTGCATAGTTGAGCACGGGAAAAGGAAGGTGGTGCCCCCCATAAACATAAAAAAGCTCTGGCCTTTATCAATTGTATACTTGACTGTGACCTTATGGACTTAGGATACTCTAGCAACAAATTCACCTGGTGCAATGATTGTGCACCTGATAGGAGAATTTGACCATATTTTTCTGGAAAGTGAGAGTGCTTTAGCCACATGTTAGTTTTTTGGGAACTATCTTAGAATTCTCTGTACTGGAAATCTAAGACAGCTTCTCTTTAAATGGTGGCTAACCAAAGGGAAGCATAAGATTATTGTGGAATTGTGGAAAAGAAGATGTGCATCTAGATTTGGAGAGGGAATGATCTCTATACCTAGGTTTCTAAGCCACTATGATCACTCTCACTACTATCAATTTCCTTTCTCTCCCAAACTTTAGTAATTGGACACACTTGTTTCTTACCTTGGATAATATCAAACCAACTCTCCCTATTGTCCTGTTAAATGGCTCATAGTTTACTTTTCAGCTTGTTGCTCATTAATCATTCTGTACAAAGCCTGTTTTATAGCATATGACCATTACTAGCCTTCTTTTGTAAAGGATGCGGATAATTACCAGTTCTATTCCGACCAAATTTTTGCCTACTGGTTATAATACACAGGTCGAGGTCAAGCCTTAACCTCCCACCACAATGGTGGCATTAACATAAAATAAAATAAAATTGTGAGGCAGCTGAAAGGCATGATAATGCATAAGAGAAAAACCAATTAACATTTTTTACTTTTGGAGATTACCGAGGCTTTTCCTAGTGTAATATCCATATCTACGTTTATGACTATTGTCAACAGTTGTACATACTATTCAAGCAATGAAATGGTGGTCCGGTACAAAGATTAAGTTTCATTAGCGAACTTCGAAACTTCACTGCTCTTCCAAGCGAATTCTTATTTCTACAGCTATTGAACAAAATGTTCAGGCCAAGAGCAACGCATAGAGCAAAGTTTTTGATAGAAATATGCATATATCGTTGCAAGGAAAATTTTGCGGCTATTAACGTTGATGAACTGCCTCAACCATGAGGTCGAGGATCCCAATGGAAGGTTGGTTAGGGATTAGGGTACACAGATCACAGACTGAAAAAGAGGCCCAACTTCTACTACAACTTCAACAAGTTGAGAATCTAAGAAACAAAAAAACACTGAAATACCATATATGTACAGCCAAAAATTGCCTGATCCCTGAAGGAATGGGCGGCTAGTTGTCATTTATCCGAACCTGTGAAGCAAAAGAACAAATCAGTTAACTATTAGGTAGCCTTGTCAACTAGCAAACACATTATCTATTCAAGTTTGGCCTGATTTCATATTTGTAAGCGTGTTGCTAGGCGTGAGAGATAAGCATCACGTAGCATTGGATTTGTAGTCAACTTTCATGCATGTACATAATGGTAAATCCTAACCCACAAATGTGTCAATCAAGCAAAAATGCATAGCTCCAGAGGAAACTATTGGAAGAACACCTTCACCAGAAGAAGTCAGCTCCAAAAAGACACATGTACTTCCCAACATAAAAACAGTCCATAAGAAAGAATAAGATAAGATATATGATATAATACAACCACATAATATATTAAATCTTAGATCTAAAATATAAACCTATGGTTTAGACCCTGTATCTACTGTAATTCTCCACAATATCCATGCACCATAGAATCAAAAATAGCATTACATTTTCAATTTGGCGCCAAGTGTGTAAATTCACTTTTATGACAGCCTCATTAAAATATTGCCTTTTCTATTAACGAACCAGGTGTGAGCAAAGCCTTAACAATGCTCAAATCTGAGAAGATAAGAAAGCAGAGTGTTGTGCTTATTGATGCAAAAGTAGTCTTTAACACGAATTCTCTATTGACGCTCTCTTTCCTACAAGTAGTCAATCCTACATATTGATGCCAATATCATCCCTTAGTTTCTGCATTATCCACTTCTAAAACAGAAAGCTTTTTATCCTTTTGGTAGACAAAATTTATTCTGCAAATATCAACTACATTATTCTGGGTATATTTGTTTTATGGACAAACGCCGCCTCTTTTTCTCTTCATATATAGATGACATTCAAATAAGATAATGTTTGAAATGGTGCCATCATAATGTGACCAGCTTCAAATTCATATATCAGAATCTCCATTGCATCAAACATTTTGTATACCTACCTATATATAATTCACAAAATCCCTCGATAAAAGAACAAGATTAGTACAAAATAAGACATGCGGTTAAAGGATACTAACCACAAGTACACTATGTACAAAGCTGTAGCTTCTTATTTTCTCTTGAGTCCTGACGCGATTTTTGTTAGGTCCTCCTTTTGTTGCTAAAACAAACAATTAAAGTGAGCTCTCAGAATGAAGGTAATGTAAGATACAAGAAGAACATTACTGAATCCAAACTAGTTCCAAACCTTATATAACCGGTTCCACCAGCTGTCAGATCTTGCTTGCAGTAAGCGCCACTCATTGGCCATTTCATACTCAATAGTGTTGGGCTGAGAACAATGAGAAGTAGACACTGCTTCTCTCTGAATAATAAACACAATAAAAAGGATTGATTAAGCTAGACAAACGTGTTCAGATGGTATGTCTTTTTTTTTTTTTTTAAATACACAGTAGACAGGAGAGAGACTGACCATTTCCCGCTGCAGTTGTAGTCTTAGTTTGTCAACACATAGATGCCCAGCTAATGATGAAGCGTTTCCTTCTGTTTTAGGAAGAGATACAAAGCTAGCAACAAGCGGCCTGGCGCATTAAAAAACTTTTAGGCAATGGGGAACCATCCTAGCCAAACATGTTTGAATATCATGCTGTTCCGTTTCAGGCTCACTCGAGAAAAATAATTTATAACACCTTACTCCTTCCCATAACTTTCACTAAATGAAAACTTTTTTCTCCCTCAAAAAATTTAAGTAACATAAATTAACACTTCACTAAACTATTTTAGACTTTATGTTGCCATTAACCTAATATAAAATATAGTAACTATTTTCACAATTCACATTATTATTGTAAAATTTCTTTTATCAAACTCGAATATAATAATCTAGTCGGATATCTCACTCTTAACCTGTGTGCTATTCATAGTAGGTCATATCTTATTTCCTGGGGCAGAGGGAGTAGTCAGCAGACACTCTAATATCTAACTAAAACATGTATTATTAACACCAAATTTGTACATTGAGATCCTATGTTTCTCCGTTTAAAAAAGGTAAGAAAAGAACAAAAAGACACCAATGTATCTACAAATCATGATGAAACACTCCCAACGCCTTCCCTAACAAAAAATTTATGATAAAGTAGAGGCCTTTCCATAAGATCATTCCCATATGATCGTATATGAAAAAAACCAATATCAAAGTAAACAATATCTTAACAGCTGCTTCACTGGGTACCAGATGTTTTATATGACGACGAGCAAGTGGAAAGAAGGAGGGAGGAGAGCAGAAAAAAATAAGACAAATTAATAAATAAAAAGCAGGGATCCTGCAATTGCATATCCACTTATCCAGCAACCAGGTCTTTTTGTAAAAAATCGAAAGGTTGCAAAGAAAACAAGTTGATCCCGTTGTATAGTCACAAGTGATATTAAGGCTTTCCCCAAACCAAGAAAAAGTCCAACTCCCAGTGTTCGATAAACCACAAGGAAATCAAAAGATCAAAATAAATTTGCTCAATGGCCTTGTGATTAAAAAACAGTTACAGTTGGGGCACCAATGATGGAGGGCAAGCAAACGAGGGCAGATCAAGCAGGGCAAGCAAGCTTCTAGGAAGGAAAGCTTCTGAAAAATGGGTGCACATGTCACCTTAGGCAAATCCCACATCGGAATGATAGAGAAAAGTGAAAAGCTTAACACAACACAAGTTCACATGTTACGCGCACTTTTGGGCTCGATGATGGCGTAGACCAAAAAACAAATCTGTGAGCTCTATTAAGCCAAACGAATAATACATACCATGGACTTGGGTCGTGACAAATATGGTATCAGAGACTCTTAGTATGGTGGTGCCTAGGGGTGTTCACAAAAACAAGAAAAACCGAACCAGACCGACCAAAAACACAAATGCTTTTTTCGTTTGGTTTTGAATTTAAAAAACCGATCAAATTTAGTTTGGTTTTGGTTTTAATTAAAAAAAAATCCGAAAAGACCGAACCAAACCGACTATAGAAGTAGCTACTTAAAATTTATTATTACACCAATATATATATTTATTTATTTCTTTATACAAAGATTCTAAAATTTTATGGTACATATTGAACATTTGCACTTTTAGTCTAGTTCTTTGCTATTATAATAATTAAGTCCCTGCGTGAATGAGGGATGCTTTGTGCACGGTGCTGCCCCTTTTTTTGCCTTTACATTCTAGTTTGATTGGTAGATTTCTTTTGCTAAGTATAAGAAACTATTTCAGGCTAAAAATAATTTATTTCTAATTGAGTACTTAAATTATTGCCTCTCTACCCCTTCGGAATAGGGATTAGGTCTGCGTACACACTACCCTCCCCAGATCCCACTTGTGGGATTTTGCTGGGTTGTTGTTGTTGAGTACTTAAATTATTCATCACTATTTAATTCAATTATCATTAATATATCTTGATAAATGATAAATTTCTCAAAGAGCAATTGGTTTGATAGCATTACAATGTAAATGTAGTCGCCGGCTATGTTGCTCGGACTCTCCGAAGATGTTGGGTGCGTGTTGGAATCATAAAAGCAGTGTATTTTTGGAGAATCCGACACGGGTGCGGCAGTATTTTGGAGAGTCTGCGCAACATAGGTCGCCGGAATATTTGTTTGGTAGTGTATGTCTCATATTTAAGAAAAAGCCGATAAACAACCAAACAAACCGAAAAATCGAAAAAAAACCGGCATAAACCGAATCGATAAAAAACCGACTTAATTAGTTTGGTTTGGTTCCAATATTTGAAAAACCGATTTTCTTGGTTTGTTTTCTTTTTAGGTAAAAATCAATCCAAATCAAACCATCACCCCTAGTGGTGCCCCTTAGTAAGGACGTTGAGTCCTAAGAGGGGGTAAATGCGACGCCTATGATGCAGGGTAGGGAGACAAGGCCGAATCAAGCAGGACTTGCAAGTTTTCGAAGAACGGGGGCACATGTCACCTTAGGCGAATCCCAATGAAGGCACAACACAAGTTCGCATGGTACGCACGCTGTTTGACTCGATAATAACGTAGCCCAAGGGACAAATCAGTGAGGTCTATTGGGCCAAACGAACAATATGTGCCATGGTCTTAGATCGTGACAACAACCCTATCTATTTGGTGTCCTGTACAAAATTCAGTTAACACACAAAAAAAAAGGAAAAATGAATTCCTCGTTCATGATCACAAAAAACCAGGTCTGGAACTCAATATTCATGTAAATCCAACAGAGTCTACTATGTTAATTTATAAGTACCAAAACAGTCTACTACATGGAAGCATTAATGGAAACACCTTTACCAATTTTTAATTTTTGAAGAGCTTGTGTTATTCTAACCAATCTAACTAACCCAATGAACTACTCTGAATCCTCATCCTAAAATTCATCTGGACACTCAAGCATTCGATAGTTGTTTGCCAAAAAGAATCTAGAATATAAATCGGTATATACCTCTGACTTGACACCATTAAGCATCCATCAGCCAACTTTTTAGTAACCCTTTCTGCTCCTTCTCTTGTTTTGAATGCAACTAATGCTCTACCTGCCAAATCAAAAGAAATGAGGTTAAAACCAGGCACCCAGGATTTAGCCATGAGCAAAAGTGGCATTTCTTTGATTAAATACTGTCCACTCTCCCGAGAAAGACAAAAGAAGAAAACAAAATAAGGAAATGGGACAGGGATCGTTAAAATAGCATAAACTTCATATATCATTTTGACAGATCCCAAAAAAAAATTCCGATTAGATAACCAATAGACGCTTATAGATAGAAAGATTGACCAGTTGAAAACGGGAGAAATTCAAAGATAGCCAGATTTACAAGTGGTCGTTCAAAAATAGCCCAGTTTCAAAAGTAATCGAAATTTAGCCACTTTTCATGTAAAGATAAATCTGAGCGAAAACACCATTCAAAACCCGGAAAATACGCCAGTATATTATGCTGGAGTTCCAGCATAAGTATACTTGAACTCCAGCATATTATACTGGAGTTCTAGTGTACTTATGCTGGAACTCCATCATATTCCAGCAAAGTATACCGGTTCAGTATAATATGCTGGAAGTTCATAGACAAGTGCTCGAATCTCCAGTATATTATGCTGGAACTTTTCGCGTGTTGGAGTTCCAGCATAATATGCTGGAATTTCATACACAGGTGCACCGAACTCCAGTATATTATGCTGGACCGGTCTCTGTTGCAGCAAAATAGTGGCTATTTTTCATTGACTTGGTAAACGCTGGCTATTTTTGAATGACCAGTCCGAAAACTGGCTGACCGTGCTATTTTTACATTGAAAACATACCAGAGTATGGGCTAGAGAAAGCAGTGCGCTGGACCATTTTGGTTGTGCAATTTTCTCTACATGCATGCCAGATAATATCCTGCAATGTTATAAACACAATCATCATTATGTAGAAGACAGTCCGGCAAAAGCTATGAATACAAGCCAGCCCCCCTCCCAACCAATTGTTGGAGCTAATAAAAAAGGATATCATCAGACTGATAGGAAACTAAGAGCAGGGCAGAAAGTGCATGTTATGAACATAGTACACCGTACAATCTAGTCATTTTCTTTCACCACATAAACATATTTTCCCCTAAAAATTTCATGGCCGTGTACACGAACTCCAAGCTTTTCCCATGAAAATTTCATGGTCGTGTACACTAACTCCAAGCTTTGGTAGCATCCCCAGTCCACTAGTTGGAAAAAAACAGTATTGTTAAGGGCTCACTTAATGTGCACTCAAGCACTGAAGCTAGGTGAATCCATAGTTAGTGATTTGCATCACTTCTAAGAGTCGCTTTAATACAGGCAGAGGCGGACCCAGAATTTAAAAATGGAGGGAGCACTACTATCTTTAATTTAGACGAAGGTGAGGACTTCACCTGTAGTTGTTGGGTGTCGGCGGATGCCGGCAAACTTCCGGTGATGACTGACATGTGACGTGAGTGAGTTGAAGTGAAGTTGGGTTTGAAATTTGGTAAAGGGGATTCTGAGTTTTATTCTTAGCAGCGCGAAAAGACAAGTGTGATTTGGAGCTTTTTAGGGGAGGGGTTTATTCCAAACTCAAAAGAAAAATGGGGTTGGGGTGTGATTCGGGTGGGTAGGTGACTAAGGTGGATCCTAAAATGAAAAGGCAAAAACAAATAAATTAAGAAATCTGGGCTGAAAAAGAAAATAACCTTAAGGAAGGAGGGGCAGTGTGGATTCGAACCCGGACATTCCATAAGAAAGCAAAGGAAATTGCAGACTTGACCAGTGCTCCAAGCAAAAGTGCGCGTAACATTCCATATAATACATGTATATGTAGAAATTTTCCCGAGGTTTACGGGGTCTGATGACCCCCCCCCCCCCACCATACACGTGGGTTCGCGTCTTAATACAGGCACCACCGCATAAAGGTAGAGCCTCATCGTATACAAGCTCTATCTTAAAGAGAGCATAACTAGAGATAAATAGGAAGTGAAAATTTAAATTGTTAAAAAACATTACGAGTGAATTCCAATGAATAGTATCAAGAAACTATCCATGTAGTGTAAGAACATTCATCACTCAAAACATGAATTGCATCATTACATCTAATAAAACATAATTAAATAATTATGGACGAGATTGACCAAGGAATTCTATTTCATATATTACACTATAGATTAATATTCCTAGTTCCTTTGTATAAAAAATTATTGTTTATTTTTTATAGATATTTTTTTCATGCATTACATATACTATATAAGCTCATTCTTCATTAAAACACATGCTTTAATAATGCATTTTACGCTTAAAGTCCTAGCAGACTTCGCTGCTTTTCTATGCTTTACACCTTAGACAATTGTGGTCGAAAGCACAATGTAGGAAGCACAAGAAGAAAACATCAAATACATCAATCACCCAGGATAGATCACCTGCATTTGCAAAAGCCATCAAGTAGAATGCATGCTAAAAACGAAAAAAGTGAGCGTGTTACTTCTCAACCATTTGTCATTTCACTAACTAATTATAGATATACTATGAAGTGTAGTGTGAAATATGCTATAAATTGAATAGGTGATTTTAGAACTACCCTAAAAAGATAGACGTTCCGAAGGAAGAGACTAGCAAGAGAGCACAGGAAATAGCACCATTGGCGCTGATGTAAAATTCTTATGTCCAGAATAGCATAGCCGTTGTTCTCACACTACTGATAGCTCCTCATACATATCCTTTAAGGCAATCATAAATATTATCTAAATTTCATTCTTCTCCGCCATAAAGGACATATATAGCACTCTATCATACTCTATACAAACACCTTTGCACAGATGTTTCTTCCTCTCCCAACAAATTTGCATCAAACTTCTCAGGAAGAATATATCCTCCACTGTAGATCTACTAGGCAAAAATCCAAATTTGTTCTCCACCACTGTTGCAGCGTCCTTAATTCTACACTCTATCTGATAAGTTCACTAAAACTCAAAATTTAATCATATGTCTGATAACTTCAAAGTCGCGAAAGTTCATACAACTTTGAACTTCTCTTTTGTGCTTATATACTGAATTCAACGTACTTTTCCTCCGGTGATTGGGCATCCTCACCACCTTTAAGTTAACACAAAATAGATTGGTAAGCCACATTACCCCAACCTCTCCAGGACAGTTTTTAACCTATATAAGAACATTTGGCTCACATGCTTTCCTAATCCTTATATTCTTCATAGCATCCTTTAATTTTGCCGGCTAATTTTGTGAGTATAGCTAAAGTTTCTACACAAAAGATGTATCAAACTCTATCAAGTTATACTCATAATTCAAGTTAAAGAGTTAATCAAATTAGCCTCTTCATCTATCCTTGAATTGATTATCTCATGTCCATACTTATTGAGAATCGTTCTAAATACACTTCACCTGGTTTAAGTCATCAGTCCTCCTCTTCAAGTATGCTAGTTTATACATTTCTTTCTTCACTTCTCACACTCTTAGCTTTTAGTAAAGCCATCTAAGGCTTCCTCTCTAGCTTTACTATTAACCTTTTTAGCTTACTTATACTTTTTAAAGGCTTTCCGGCTTTTGCTCTTAGTTACTTTCTATGGCATTCTCTTTTGCTTTAATAGTTCCTTGCACACCTTGTCATTCCACCAACAAGATTCTTGTAATCGAGCTAGGAGAAAACACTCATTGAGTAATACCGCCTTGAATACTCTAGTTTGTTTCCGACCTTTGTCCAACAATTCCCGAGGATATGATTTCTTTGGAGGGTGCAATCTCTTGCTGCAAGAGTGGGCCATGGAGGATGCCCCCCGATCATTGATCAATTGTGTTGTAAGGGCCAGCAGAATTTGCACTCATTGTGAGAGAATGGGCCATTGGAACGCCTCAAACAATGTTGAGGAATGGTACCACTCTCTAACACATCGCGGGAGACTCCATCCAATGGAGATTGTCCGCATGTACGAGAGACCATTCGTAAAAGCACAACAAAATATATTTCTTTGAGTTAGAGGGATTAAGAGGAATCCAATCATACGCCCCTCTACGGGTTCTAAGCGAATTTGGCTTAACCCAGGAGTGCATCTTCATTCAACATGGTTTTGTCCGAGAACGACTTCAACGAAGAAATGGCTATCCCGAGGGCTAAACACCTGCAACAGGAGTGGGAGTTGATGGCAGTCGACATGGAGCAAGATGAGCGGCGTACTCTCGAGTATTATGCTTGGATCATGCAAGACAATTATTCTCCTCTGCCGAGTCGTGAAGGAGAATTGGTAAGTTTAGAAGATGCTTGGGAAGCGCTTTGAGAAAGATAATGACGACAAACCAATGCACAAGGCATCCTGCGTTCACGCAAGGACGGACGAAGGACTGCATCCCAAGGGGTATAATGTAGACAGTATACCCTAATGCAATCATTAGAAGCTGCTTCCACAGCTCAAACCCGTGACCTATAGGTCACACAAGGTTCCCCTTCTTTGAGAAAGATATGACGTGTTGTCATTTACCAACATCACACTTGATACGCGAGAGCAAGTGGTTCCCAGTTCAATCGAGCTCGCGATGCCCCGAGCAAGTGGAAATTTCTGAAGGATATGTGGAATTGGTGTGTTTACGGAAGTGATGGAGGGTATGGGAGGTTAAGGAGAACCACTTGCTCTCACTCATCCCCGATCACTTCTGATGAAAGTTTTTCTCCAACTTCACCAGCAAACTAAAACGGTGTCGGATGAAAGAATGAGCACTTAATACAATACTAAGTACATCCCTTCCAATATCATGTTTTCATAAAAATGGCTTCTCATTGGTGAAACACTATTTTGGATATCCAACTAAGGTGATGCAAGTATTATGCAAACATCCAAACTTTCCTCCTAGAAAGCTAGCAAATTCTTATTACCCAAGAAAGCCTTAGAGAACTTGCATTATAGTCAAATTTTTTGCAAATTCTTATTACCCAAGAAAGCCTTTAGAGAACTTGCCTTATAGTCAAATTTTTTTGCAAATTCTTATTACCCAAGAAAGCCTTTAGAGAACATGCCTTATAGTCAAATTTTTCATAATGATAAACCTTAACCCCCTAAGGCACCTTTTCTCATAGCCAACAATAGACCTTCTTCAATTATACCACCATACAACAACAACAACAACCCAGTAAAATCTCACTAGTGGGGTCTGGGGAGGGTAGTGTGTACGCAGACCTTACCCCTACCCTGAAGGAGTAGAGAGGTTGTTCCCGAAAAGACCTTTGGCTCAAGAAAACAAAAGGACAGAAGGAGACAATATTAGTATCACCACAGAAATCATAGGAAAAATAGGAACATGAAATCCAGAAGGAAGATGCAAAGCAAAAGCGATAGATAGTAAATAGGTCCTGCACTGAAAAGCGAAATAGTAAGACACAACATTGCCACTAGCTATCTTAGACAAAAACCCTACCAGACTAGTCTCACAAAGGTACGAAGTAAGGCAAAACTCAACTACCTCCTAACCTTCAACCCTAATGCTCGACCTCCACATCTTCCTATCAAGTATCATGTCCTTGGAAATCTGAAGCCTCGCCATATCCTGCCTGATCACATCTCCCTAATACTTCTTAGGCCTCCCTCTACCTCTTCTCGTGCCCTCCACAACCAGCTGCTCACACCTCCTTACCGGAGCATCTGGGCTTCTCCTCTGAACATGCCCGAACTATCTGAGTCTCGCTTCCCGCATCTTGTCATCAATGGGAGCCACGTGCACCTTCTCCTGAATAACATCATTCCTAATCTTATCCATCATAGTGTGCTCGCACATCCACCTCAACATTCTCATTTCTGCTACTTTCATCTTCCGGATATGTGAGTTCTTAACAGGCCAACACTCAGCCCTATACATCATGGTCAGTCTAACCACCTCTTAATAGAACTTACCTTCAAGTGTCGGTGGCACTCTCTTGTCACACGGGACTCCAGATGCTAACCTCAGTTTCATCCATCCTACCCCAATACGGTGTTTGACATCCTCGTCGATCTCCCCTCCCTCCCCCCTAGATAACCGACCCAAGGTACTTGAAGCTGCCTCTACTTAGGATGACCTGTGATTCGAGCCTCACATCCACGTCCACTTCCCCCGGCTCAGCGCTGACTTACACTCCAGGTATTCCGTCTTCGTCTGGCTCAGCTTGAAGCCCTTAGACTCAAGAGCCTGTCTCCAAACCGCCAGCTTCTTGTTAACACCAGCTCGTGACTCATAATTTAGGCAAGCAAGTCATAATTCGCTCCCTTCCTACCCCCTTTATTACACTATTGAGCATTTCTCAAATCAAAATGTTTAAAGATAGAAAATAGAAACCTTCATATGCACCGAGGCGAGGGGGGTGTGCATCATCTACCAAGTTTTGAACCGTGCACCACTAGCCCCCATTTCTTAGCTATAAAGAGAAAAGAAACCTTAACATATTCGAGCAACTTCGTAGACACGTGTCTTCTTATCTCCAGAACGTGCTCCACTACCCCTTAGGGATTTTAGTCAACAATATATGTTGCTTTGCATTTCTAGTAAGGTGGGTTGCGTGGAATTAATGAACTCATTGACTTTAACTTTAACTTGCGTATCTTAGTATCATTAGAAGGGTTTATGAAGAGTCACATTTTAGGCATGCATGGGACGAGATGGGCAGCAGGAAATTGTCGGGAATACACTTAATCAAGGAGAATACATACTCCTTTTATCACATATATAAGCGAGCATCAAACAGTGAGCTCATAAACTCACTTCGTTTGTTCATTGGAAGACAAAGTCCTCCAGGGCAAGAATAAGCAAAGATTGATAAGAGGGAGTTATAAAAAGGAGAAATTTCTCTTTGCACCACATACGGCGAGAAAGCGTTGCTTGTGCCAGCATCACAAAAACACTCTGCAAGTTAATTGTTTGCTAGAGATACTCTATAATTATCATAGTTTTAATTTGAAGAGACCATATGTTGCTCAGACTCGGGTGCGAGTATCCGATCCAGATGTGGATCTAGAGATAGAATCCTTCACAATCCAAATTTTAGGATTCAGGGTACGAATCCAGGAATGGATATGGGTGGGGAAATTTTGGCTAAAAATAATTCAAGATTCTAAAAGTAGATCTATAAGAATCTATTCTGCGAAAACTTATAGGTAATCGAGTGCAGCCAATAGTTCAACCTTTCATTTTGAGAATTTATCAATTTGTAGGCACTTAGCTGAGAGTCTATCGGAAACAGCCTTTGTCTGTCCAGGGTGGGGGTAAGGCTGCTTACATCTCACACTCCCCAGACCCCACTTGTGGTAATACACTGGGTCGTTGTTGTTGTATCAATTTGTAGGCACTGGACACTAATAGGCAGCAGCTAAAATTCAATCTTTTATTTTTCATTTATAGTCGAATTTGCCCATGGAATGTGGTCAAAGTATGTGATCTCGATTGACCACACCTGGTATGTATCTCACACCCTTACCACTACTAGTATTGTGTCGACACCAGTGCGATAGCTAAAATGATCCGCGCAACATAGGAAGAGACTATGTAAAATAATTTTTATGATAAGGTAGTTAAACAAAAAGAGAGGAATAGGTAACACGATGGACACATAAATCATAACCTTGCATCAAGTTAAAGGCCACAAAGCAAAAGAAAACTCCTAGAAGCATGATGCTCACCCAAAGGGAACAATCACAAAATTGGTATCAAGTCAAGATAATATCACAAAGTTAATAGGCAAGGAATAGGGTATTACCTCCACCTCTCCTGATGTATATTCGGGATTCAAATTTTCTAGTAAGATAAGCGCCCCTTGCTCATTTGCTGTTTGCATCACTTCCTCCCACGGCTAAATATAAAAAACAATGAAAATGATAGATATTTTATCAATTGAGCTTATACGGACAAAACTGATAGGTATCTTTCACCGACAAAAATATCATATCATCTAATAGATTGTTTTGCTACATAGAAAAGCATGGGCCCTTTCTTATGGCAATAAGCGTAATGTAAGATACGCCACACAAAACTAATAGTTCCAATGTGTGAATCATAGCTCCACTAAAATAAGTGGTCAGAGCTCCACATATGTTAGGAAACTTCTAATCTTAAATTGTGGACAACTTGACATGGGCATAGAAGTAAATAAACTAGCAAGCTATGTGCTTGAGTACTTTATTTTCTTTGAATAGATTTCTTTTCTATTAGCATGGTTATATTCAAGAAATAGTCAATATATAAGTTACCGTAGATTTCTTCCCGTGTATCTACGTCTTGGTAGGCAGATTTACCCGGTGCCTGTGCTGGTAGGAGTTAACAGGTACTGGATGAAACAATCAAGGTGTGTGCAAGTTGATTACGACACCATGATTAAAAATAAAAAGTTATGTTACATTATGTACTACTCCCTTCATCCCACTATATGCAGCGATGCTTGACCCGGCACGGAGTTCAAGAAAGAAAAGAAGACGTTTGAAACTTTTAGTCTAAAACATAGATATTTGTGTCGCTGTAAATCATTTTATTAAGGGTAAAGTAGAAATTCTAAAGATAAATTATTCTAAATAAGGAAATGCTAAGTTGCTAGGACTCTTCACTTTGGTGCCATACCCGTGTCGACACGATGTGAGTGTGGGTATGAGATCCACGCCAGATTTGATCAATTGATTTTGGGTACTTTGACCAAATACGATGATTTTTGAAATCAAAAGAAAAGCTAGGGTGAAATTGAAAATAAAGGAATACTCTCTAAGTTTCCTTTTACTTTTATCACCTTCTCAGATTCTTCTCTTGATCAACATTTTCTCTTCCTCCGAATATCTTGTAAGTTTTTCACATAATATCTCATAATTTAGACATATTTTTATAACTCTATTTTTTATATTTGAATTACTTTTACCTAAATCATCTAAATCCTCATACATGTATGTGTAACTGGATCCACACCCCAAATCTTTGAAATCAAGATCATGAAGGATCCAACCTCTAGATTCCCACTCATATCGACACTCACACCCGAGTCCGAGGAACTTAGAGGAAAGGTAATATTTTTTGGACTGACTAAACAGGAAATAGCGCCATAAATTGAGACGAAGGAAGCATATTTTATGCAAAAAGCATCAAGACCGTAATGTTATTTTTCATTCAATCTCATTTCACTAGTAATAGAAAAGAAAAGGAATTTATGTGCAAGCGATATTTTTGTTGATGAGCGAAGTAAGAGCAAATTATAGTATAGAGTTTCCACATTATGGATATCAAAAAGAATGATTGCATCGGCACGCAACTTTATAAACTTCAAAGACAAAACAAGCTCTCTTCTTTGTGTTATTTCCATGCGGCCCATGTTAACATTTTTCTTTGTGCTTATCAATTAACTCGAAAACTATCACCATTCTGAAAAACCGAGCAAAGTTTAACATAAATCCCACTATTTGGATCCATCACACATGCAACTATTAAGCAAATAGACCTTCCACCTGCTACCACGGTCCACTCTATGAAGATTAGGCATATCATGAGAACCGGTAAGTTCATAGTGAGTAGAAATCCAATGGACATAGTTTATCTTTTATGTTAGGTTCAAGCTTAAGTATTGCAACATGGGACAAACAGCTTTTAGTCCTGATGCATACTCTGGAGGCCAAATACTTGGATTGTAACATAGAAAAGTTTTGGCATGCTCCGAGATATACATCAAACCCTAGAAAGGAGTTTTAGACTCCAAGGACTTTCGACACCACCACTAAAGTCAAGAGAAGAAATGGAGAAGTTCCACAGATCCCTCCTAGACCCTTAGTTATCTCACCTGGGTAAATTTATGTTTCACAACTAAGAAGAACTAGCATAATCGCCGAAATTTCAATTCATTCCATGAAGACGAAGCTTCGAAGTCTTATTCATTGAGTTCACAATAGCTTTTGTTCCTAAAGGGATTTGAAACTAATTAGTATACACAGTAACCAAGAATGGTATTCCTAAATAGCTAAAAACACTAAAGCAAGTCGTTTATGAGGTTATGTTGTCCTAGCCTAAGCATAATATTTCACCCTTATTTGTATTTCTTTGGTAATACAAGAACATGCCAATATGACCTAGACTTCTTGGCTCAAGCAATTCGTTCAAGGTCACACTTATTCCATGATGCTCTCCCAACCTTGCGACCAACACATGAGCCATCAAACTTGATCTTTAATCAACTTGACCATGCCACAATAGGGAAAGCAAGTGACTAAAGGAATCAATTTAAGAACAACAAAAGAAACAATTCTAAGCTCAAATTACCGACAACATGCCTTTTCAAAAACATTTCACCTATATTTGTGACTTTAGACAAGCTACATATATCTCCTAAAAATAATCAGCATATCAGATAGAGTTACTTAATTGGCATAGGACATAATCAGCATTGTAAATAGGACCAAGGATAGGATCACTTACAGGTGCCTTAAACCACTTGCTTGACTCCTGTAATTAAAAATAAAGTAGGATATATCAGTTTGATATATGAATAAAAAGATTATAATAAAACAGCTTAGCAGCCATGATTGAGAGCATAAAGTTCCACCAAACTATATCCATAAGCTAATATCATCTCACAACAGATCACATGCATCTGAATTAAGAATAAAATCTCAAAAAATCATTATACCATAAAGTCTAAAGCAGACAAAGGATGATGACAATAGAATCAAATCACACACCCGCCAGCAGCAAGTAAATCCAAGCCATTTCTTTCACCGACCAAAACCAGATAAAGGAAAAGAGCAAAAAATTTATGAATAAACATCCAATTTTTTCCCATCCTATAGGAAAAGAATAATTTGACACTAACTAGTTTCTACAAAATCATCAGTCAAACTTTTTTCTTTCACTGGAAGTAGGATAAGATGTAAGAATAATATTGCTTTCAGTTTCTTTTTAAAGAAGACAGACTTTTACCAACAAAAGAAGTATACGAGTCATCCTCTAATTTACAAGCATATCGACCTAGCATCTTAATTCTCCATAATTACTTGAATTTAGCATCTTTTTTATATCTTCGGCAGCAACGAGAATCCCGGAGATGTTGACAGTGCATTCTTGTCTGCAGGAAACGATTTGGAATTTGACTCCTTGAAGTGACGACAACAACTAATTCTGGTGGAATTCTTTTCCCTTCAACAGTTTTTCCGTGGCTGACAAGGAACTCTGCTAAAACTAGTACATCATAAATTATCTGATCTACATTGGGCTAGTTTTTTTCTTTAACATTCAACACTATGCTACAAACAAGGGTGAATTAAACACCAGTAGAACTTACCATGTTCTCAGATATAGAGATCATTTTTCAAGGTGAGACTTTGGAGATATCTGATTTTTATTAAATTGTTTAAGTGAATGGTCTAACTGGCAAGCAGTTTCTAGAAACATACAGAGAAACCTCGCATGATTATCCAAAAGTTTTATGACATAGGCTTATATTTATGGGAAGTACTCAAGGAAGCAAGTTTCTAAAGTTGGCAATGTCTTGAAATGCACAGTGCAAGGTGAGGGGTTTAGGTCTGGGTAAGTAAGGGAAATCTCAAGGTATAACGGAATAATAAAAAATAGGAGAAGAATACAGAAGAAAAAGCTAGAAGTGAGGCTAAGAATGAATATTGACTGGAAAGAGAAAGAGAAGACAACATGGGTTCAATTTTATCTTTTATGGAAACATATACCAAGATAGATCATGCTAGTGGTATAGCAGTTTTCTTGTTGCCATACTAGTCCTCTCGAATTTGGCTTCAAATGTGTTACTGCTTTGCGACTCTGAACTTGGACTTTCTACCCTAAACCTCTTTTTCTTGTCATTCTCTTTTTGCTCATATTTCACCAACTATCCGCTTACTTAAAGACAACTGTTAACAGATCAGTGCCTTAATTTGACAATACGGTGCTCCAAAAGAAGTTAACTGGGAACAAATTACTAAACTAAGAAAAGAGATTCAGTGCCTATGCCTTCACAATAGTTTGGAACAGAATGATGTACATGTCAAAGTTGCTTCAACCTAGAATTATATCCAGGAATAGCCGACTTAAAGCTGAAGGCTTCCACTTTATGGAATCTGTTTTCCAACCTCTGTTAGAGTCGATGAACATCGGAATGATGCCAATAGCTGATACTCCAATAGCCGCTCCACGGTCTCACATGCTGCCCTCGCCCAAGCTGATTTTGGTTGGGCCTGGTAGCCTCAACTTTAAATAGGCTAAAAATATCTTAGCTCAACCATATCAAAACAGGTAAGGCTGGGCAAACATCACAGGCCAAGATCATTTTAATGCTCTAGTACGGCACGCTAACATTTAACGGGCCAAGGTTGGGTCCAATGTAAAAACAGCTAGGAGTGGCCCTTCATTTTTTGAATTGGCTCGATAATAGACAAAACCATTAAGGAGACAGGTGGACCACCTGGCACTTATGGCGAAATTATTTTCTCCTGACCGTTATCCAACAGCAAAACAACCATTTTTTAAAATGATTGTTTTTAGCCATAGGCTAACAGCCCAAAACAAAGAACAGCTCGGTGTAGAAACATTCCATGTTCACGCATAGCTCAAGGAAGGGACGCACCCCAAAGGGGTTTGATGTAGGCAACCTACCTTGTCTCAAGCTTTTATGGCTAATTCCAAGACTCGAGCCCTTGACCTATAAGTCACAGAGAAACAACTTTACAGTTGCTCCAAAGCTATCCTTCAAGGGTAGGATAGTAAGATTAGATAGTTCCAAAAAAAGGAAAGGGATCGTTCTTCCTAAGACAGATAAAAAGGGAAGTGTATTACATACAATAGAACAGAAGGAGCATTCAAAAGTTTTAAAAGATTTAACTATAAATATGTGATCTTTATCCATGTCTTCACCTTTTCCCAGCTCCACTCTAACTCTAGGAAACTTAAAATAGAGTTTCATCGCTAGTTGGACTCTAGTTCATGCCCCACATCATTAACCAGTTGATGTGTTGGGCAACCCTAGAGCAATGCTATATCATCCTAATATCTTAATCTTTGATTTCAAGTCCTTAGCAACCTTATAATTGGTTCTTCTACTTTTTTAATATCGATAATCCCTCATATTATTTCAACTCTAGATAATCCACACCTAACACAACATCTTTTATCTAAAGTAAAATCCAATTAGCATAGCACATCACCAGACCTAATGCTCTGACTGTTTTTTTTCAATAAATTAAAATTTGTTTGAAGGATGTCACACCAAAATGGTGTCAAACCTATTTACAAACTTAGTGGCTAAAACCACCATTTTCTAACAAGTTGTTCCAACCATCTACATAAATTGGTATTTTTCTATTTATAGCAAACCAATATATGCAAAAAAAAGAGCTCATAGTAGGAAGAATACATAATTACCCCTTTAACTTGTCCCATTTTTCCAACTACACACCTATTAACCCCCTGAACTTGTTCAAAGTGAAATTCTTACTACCCCACATGATTAAGATCAGATTTTAGTGGGCAGTGATACTCACGCACTACATATGTATTGCCACGTCACTTTTTTCTAAAATGTGATTTTTGGCCTTCTTTTTCACTTTTTCTCCCACCATCTTCTACTCATCATATTTTTACCAGTTTTGAACCACCAAACAGCCATCAAGCTAAAACCACCCATTGAATCATCACAAAAAAAACCACCAAATTCAAACTACTACCAAGCCACCAACGTTTAACTCAGAAATCAATAAATCAAACAGAGCTTGTTCCTAAATAGTGAGGAAAAAACCGTGATAACACTAGTCTTATTTTCCCTTTGCTTTCTTATGTATATAATGAAAATTTTAAAACCCTATTAACACTACTATTGTCCTTGTTTACGGAAAAAAAACAAAGCGAAAAAAAAGCTCAAAAGTGATGTAGTGAATATTTTGACAAGAATACTAGACTCGGTAAAGAAAAATATATAGATTTGTCGTTGAAGTAAATTTCTAGAGAAAGAATAAAGGACGACCTATTGTTTTCTTTGGCTCAATTAAACAATTTTATTAGGGTTTTATTTCCTATTGCTCAAAAAAATAATTTTTAGCGAGATAAAAGAGTTGGGCTTGTTGTTAGTGAGATATAAATGATGGGTCTTTGAAAGAATGGAGAAAAAATTATAGATGGAGTGAAAGAAAAGTGGAGTAATGGAGCTTGGCCGGTCAAAAATGGATTTTCCAGCCAATGTTACTGATTTTTTGGTCAAGAGAACTTTTCTACTTACTTCTCACTCGTTCGATAGAGAGTATAATCACTTTCTATGCCATGTCGGAAAAAAAGGATGAAATAATTCCACTTCAAAATAATTTAGAGGGATTATAAAATTCTCGCAAAGTTTAAGTGTGTAATTGGTAAACTTAGACTAGTTGAGGGGGGTAATTATGTATTCTCCCTAATATTCCCTCACACGAGAACAACGTGCTATTGTGCTTCCCATATAAAACATCCAAAAGGCATAAAGAAGTAATCTCTCCAAGTTGTCCAATTTTCCACGTCTATCCTCAATGATCTACAATCATTAATTTGAGCTCATATAACTCAAATTAATTGCTATCAAAATCTCATGTTGCGCGGCACAAAGAATTACACCTTCTTAGTAGCTTTTATATCAACGCTCTCTTCCACACCTCCCCATCTCAGGGTGGCTTCCAATAAAATGAACTCACCATAAAAGACTTTGCCTTTTTCCCTCCAACCATACAATCATATCCTCCCCTTCACTACTAATGGACAAATCATATATCATGTGAAGGGACTCGGAACCGGACTGTCTCACGATTTCAATTTGGCAAGAAAAACTTCTCCTCAACATCAATCTCCTTCCTTTCGGAGTCATGCAACAACTTTCCATTACCGAACCAAACTCTCATTCTTTACCGCTATATAGCAAATTCATTGAGTTACAACTTATAATTTGTAGGTCAAATTGGAAGCTATCTCACAGAGGAAATTATCTCTAAGGGTCCGTTACAATTTGAATAGAAGAAAATGACCCCTATAAAAATCTTTATGTGTTCTATTTTCCGATTTCATGTTAAAAGGACCATATAACTAAAACAACATTAGTAATAGGCCATAAGACCCATCTTCCTGACCTACGATGAGACTTGGCTCTCCAAATTTAATGAAATGTTTTAGCTTGTAAAACATAGCTTTGCTTCAATTCAAGAGATTTTGCTAATTCTTCATATGTTATACTACAATCAAAAGAGTAGATGGTCTAGGAGCCTCTCACTAGTATGGAGAAGTACATAATTCCATGTAATACCATCATTATATCATCAACAAGGAATTAGTTCTTTCTCAAATCTAGCGTCATCGGCTTCACAAAAGATTAAGTTGGCTATGCGCAATTTTATCTAATAAAATATTAAACTTAGCAAGAAAATGATAGTGCTCGAGGCACGACTTACGGCAACGGGTCTCCGAGTGACTTCGAAGCTCTTGCCTTCCGTTCTTTCAACTTCCTTGGGGGACGTTCCCGTTGATAATTTAGGCAACTTGCCTAAATTATCAGCACATTTACCTAACATGTTACTTTTATCTCTATCCTCTTGTACTTTACGAGCGTCAATGTTTGCTTTCTTCGAAGGTCTGCTATCCAAGGCAGCACTATCTTTTCTGATCTTCATGTTCTTGTCCAGTCCACCAGAAAGCTTACTATCTACAGATTTCTTTCTTTCTTCAGAAGGAACAGCACTTGTTCCCAAAACCTTTTTTCCATTTCTGCAAACAGTGGACTTCTCTACACTGTTCACACCCTTGTCCTCTGATAAAGTCACAGAACCATTGACTTTTATTCGTTTTGAAGGCCTATCTTCCAAAACGCCAAGATCCTTCGGAGATTTTCCTGTTTCACCAGCTTCCACCAGATTGATTGGAGGCTTATTAACTTTTTTATCATCCTTTTCATTCTTGATTTTGCAGCGTGCATTTTCTTCACTAATAGTATTTTGAACAACTGTAGTGGCTGTGCTGTTAACAATCTGCACAGGCGCAGGATTTCCTTTCATTGTTGATTGCTGCTTAACGCCGGAATCATTTGCATCTCTATGTAAGCGGTCCTGTCTAACCGGCGAAGTTTGCACATTTACATCACTTTTTCCCACTATATGGCTCAATTTTCCAGCAGCTTTGGGAACTCGCGAAACATCATCTGAGTTTTGCTCACCAGGGGCAGAATTCGCTTTCTTAGTTGTTTCCTTATTAACACGTGAAACATTTGTTTCTCTCTGTAAAGCGTCCTGTCTAACCAGAGAACTTTGTGCATCCACATCAATTTTTCCATCTAAATGACTCGCTTTGGAAGTTCCAAGATCATTTAGTGCCTTTAGCCCAAAGGACTCTTTAGTAGTAGCTTGATATTCCACAGTATTTTTATCACCGTTCTGGTCAGAAGCATGTTTGAGGACGTGACTGGCCTTTTGACTCTCCTTCCTGTTAAAAACATACTTGACTGTACCAAAAATGTAAACAAGTTTGCATAAGAGATTAAACCTACCACAACAAAATATAATGGAACACAATAGTAACTTTATATTATTTCCGTTTAAAATCGAAACTTATATTATGGTGACACCATAGAGAGAGGACAACCCAGGGAGCTGAGGCACATACCATCCAGCCCACCAACTTTGTCATCCATCTTATCCAATATTGAACATTTTCCAACATCAAAAGCACGGTAGAAAACAAAGTCAGCCAGTTTAACTTCTTCCTCTGATGGTTGTGGATTTCTGTTATCCTCTGAAGTGCAGACAACATTGCATTTGCCGGCAATAGCTTCCTGGTCAAGTTAATCGACAAGAAGTTAAGCAGCCAACTCTCTTTCAGTTATGAGACAGCATTCACCAACGATAGGCATATGATAACATTACAACATTAAGCACGCGACATTAAAGATAGCTATATGCAAATTCTCAGAAATAGACAGATTCATACTGGAAGTAGAGTAACGATAACGAGACAACCAAACAGCATCAATATGATGTATAATTCACGTACCACCAGGGAAGAGAAAAACAGATCACAGCAGCAGCTGGCGTTCATGATAACAATTTTTAGACATAAATGAGAGCTTATATTTTAACAAAGGCAAATATTTTTATTTAAAAATTGGGAGAAAAGGGACCAACGCATATACTAGTTGTATTACAAAGTTACGTGAGCCTACGGAGTAACATGTATCTCCACAGACAACAACCAATCCTTGAAACTTGCTGGAAAGTCATGCGTACTCCTAAAGTGAAAACAAAAAATTGAACTACTAACATCTATATGAAAGTTCTACATCCCTTTAAATGCTCTTTCATTTCTAACCTTCCATTATTTTCACATGAGTGCCAAAGGAGTAATCTAAAAGCCTCTTTTTTCTTTTTGTCTTGAACACCACCCAAATAACATTCTCGCACTGTCCATGGCATTACCCACCCAAGTCTAAACATATTCAACACAATGCACTTATGCAACAGGGTAAATTCTTTTGTTTCCTCTTTTCCTACTTTAGAAGTTAGAATGGATACCCTGTTAGCACCCCCGTAATCTACTAACGGTTTACACATGACAACAACAACTACGGTTCAGTCCCAAACAAAATTGGGGTCCTTACTTCTTCTTCAAGCTCAACTCATATCTCTATCATGCCATCTTCCATTGTATCCTATCTTTAGCTAGTCTGCATTGATTCCAAGGATTTGCAGGTCTTTCAAGACAACTTCTTTCCATGTGATTTTACGTCTACCTCATCCCCATTTGAACACCTTCATTCACCATAGTTGCACACTTAGGACCGATGCATCTGTAGGGCGACTACACCATCTCAAGCGACCTTCTCTCATTTATCATCAATGAGTTCTACGTGAACCTTCTAGTGCGCATTTTTAATCTTATCTAATCTTGTATAATCGCACATTCATCTTAGCATTTGCATCTCTACAATACTCATCTTGTGGATATGTCAGACTTTAGCAGCCAAACATTCACTACCATATAGCATTGTTGATCTTATAGTTGTTAACTTACATTTCACTTTGGTAGGCATCCTTCTATCACATAACACTCCGGTAGCACTTCTCCATTTCAACCGTCTAGTTTTGATCCTATAGGTAATATCTTCATATATCATTTCATTCTCTTGAATAATTAACCTAGATATCTATATTGTTTGCCATTTTGGCACCACAATCCCATCAAGTCTCACCTCTACTTTGTTCTTCTCATACTGACTAAACTTCCAGTGCATGTATTCAATCTTACTCCTACTTATCCTAAAGCCCTTACTCTCCAAAGTGCTCCTCCATAGCTCAAGCTTTTAGTTGACACCCTCGCTAGTTTCGTCGATTAGCACAATGTCATCAGCGAATAACATATACCATGGGACCTCATCTTGTATTGTGTTGGTTAGCTCATCCATAACTAGGGTAAAGAAGTAAGGGCACAATGCCAAACCTTGGTGTAAACCCACTATTACAGGAAACTCATATGTATCTCCTATTACCATTTTCACGTTAATGACGACTCCTTAATATATGTCCTTTATGGCATTTATAAATTTAATATGAATTCCTTTCTTCTCCGCCACCTACCAAAGGACCTTCTGTGGCACTGCTTTCTCTGGGTCAATGAACACCATGTGTTGATCTTTATTTCTTTCGCTATAAATTTTCATCAATCTTCTTAGCAAAAATATGCCTTCTGTTGTATATCTACTGGGCATAAATCCAAATTGGTTCTCTATCACTCTTGTCGTGTTCCTAAGTCTACACTTTATTACTCTTCCCCGAAGTTCCATTGTATGACTTGTGAGTTTAATACCACGATAGTTTGCACAACTTTGAATATCCCTTTCATTTTTACAAATTGGGATCAGAGTACCCTTCTCCACTCTTTGGGCATCCTACAACATTTTGGTATAGGATTAAATAGCTTGTTGAACTATTCCACTCCAACCTCCCCAAACACTTCCAAACCACGGTAAGGATACAATCTGGAGCACAAGTTTTTCTAATCATCATATTTTTCATCGCATGCTTTACCTCGGTCGGCCTAATTCTACTAGTTTCACTAAAATTTCTATCACACAGATACCTCGGGAGGTCTTAAATACTATTTCTTTTGGTTCGAGTTCAACAATTGATCAAAATATCCCCTACAAACTCCCCTGATAGTTTTTGAATTTTGTTAGCTCCCTAGTACTAGTATAAACATTTGTAAGGAGCTAACAATTGCTACACTCTTTTGTAATTTATGCATCTTCTTGATGCCAGTAATGAAACCAATTACTTCATCAAAAAAAAATATCCTCTCCATCACTCCTTGATCCCCTTATCTCCTGTCAACACTTGATCAATGGTTTACACATGAAATTTTTTAATTAGAAAGTACATGACTTCAGCTTATAAATTAGTGATGTTTCATATTTCTTTACCGATGTTGATAGCAATAGGGAGGTTATTACTACACTTTCTCACTCCAATAGTATTAGGAAGTTATTTCCTTGTTTTCTGGTGGGTGGTTAATCCAAGTTATTTGAATTCAAATAAAAGGTATGCAGAAAATTATTCCATCTTTTGAGTACTTTTACTTAAGAGATTACAGGTTCTTTCTTAATGAACCAGCACCATAGGTCTCTAAAGAAAACTTCTTCCTAAATTTCTAATTTACTCCATACTAACGATGTTTTTGTCCTGCAAGTCCGCCAAATTGATGTACGAGAGAATACCTTATAAGTATTATGCTACATAGGACTTGAACTTGAACACCCCGTCTATGATTTCCCCTCCGCACTTACATGTGCCTCATTCCGTCAATGTAACAAATTTCTTATACATAGTATCCAACAACCTACTGAGATGTTCATGTTCCATTTCCCGTTCTTACAAATTAATCTCAAAATGTAGATCACATAAAGTTTTTTTGATGAAGTAAATTAGATTCATCAAAAGGCATCAAGAAGAGGCAAGGAGTACCAAAGAGATAGGATAATTAGGTCAAGTACAAAAGTCTATGCTACTATCAAGAAGCTAATAAAATCCACAAAAATATCAGCACTTCTAATAGGAGTGAGATAGTTCCAACTAAACAAATTAACTAAACACGCAGCCTTGAAGGAGTAGAGTGGAGTTGAAATACCATCAAAACACCTTCGGTTCTCTTCTTTCCTAATACACCCAAAAATTACTGTTGGCACCATTTTCCAGATTTTTTTATGGATTTGTCAACTCTCCAAAAATAACAACCCTCAAAAACTTGCTTAATTAATTGTGGCATAACCAATCTCAGACCAAAATAGTGTAAAGAATTTCCAGATTTCTTTTGCAACTGAGCAGTGGAGGAATAAGTGGTTGACACTTAATGACTTTTGTTGGTTTGTTGGCACATGTAGCATCTGTTAACTAGTGTAATGTTCCTCTTAATTAAGTTGTCTTAAGTGAGACAGGCCCTATTTAGAGACAATCATGTGAAGCAAGTCACCTTGGTAGGCACTTTAGTTCTACAGATGTGTTTAGATACAAAGTTACATCTCTATACTTTACAAATCTAGGAAATAACTACCATCTATTGTCTTAAGATGTTCTAGATGGATGCCAAGGATTCATTTCCACACCCAATAGTTCCGTCTCCTAACTATAAGTCCAAACATTTAAAAGATCTTTCCATCCTTGTGTTCCTCACAAATAAGAAAGCATAAACATTAATTAGTTTATTGTCTTTAATATATAGCCATCAATTCTAAGCAACAAGCTTTCACCCATATTCCTTTGCAAGGTCCCACAACAGCGGAAAACATGTCAAAGCGGATATCATTAGCTTCCCTATGACAAATAAACAAGGACCACTAATGCCCTCGGCTATAATAACTAAGCCACTAGCCTAGTAAGGCCCATCAAGGCTTACTTTATCGATTTGAAGAGATCACCAAATGACTCGATCAAAATAAAGTGCGTATGACCCAATCACTCAATGGAGCATAACTCGTTAACTTTCTAAAAGCCAAAACCTATACCAGAATTGATGCAATTATGACCCGTTTAGACACAAGAATTTTTTCACTTTTTCGAGAAAATTTCACTTTTTTCGAAATTAGTGTTTGGCCATAAAATTTCCACTTTTCACTTGAAGATGAATCTTGGAATTATTCGAAAATTTGAAAAACTCCAAAAAGCTATTTTTCAAAATTTTCACTCAGATCACTCACAAAACTTAAAAAACAACCCAAAATTATATCCATGCCAAACACAACTCTAATTTTCAAATACCATTTTCACTTGAAAACAATGTTGTCAAAGGCTCATTTAAGGCGCACTTAAGCCCTAAAGCTCAAAAAAGCTCAGGGAGGGCGCTTCGCCTCACTTAAGTTGCGCTTCAGTATAGGCAGGGCACCAAGACATGCACCTTGTTGCCCATGAGTTCTATCTTAAATGGAGCAATGCTAGACTACAAATATAATCGGCAAATAAGTGTATTAGTTGTTAAGGAAAACAATATAAATGAATTTGTTACTTTTCTCTTGAATTACATATATATTTTTATTTTTTTCTTGCATTGCGCCTCTTTTAACTAAAGCCCCCACTTAAATTGCGCTTGGCGCTTAAAGCCCCAATTAACCTAGAGTGCTTTGTAGAGCTTTTTGCTTTTGACAACACTGCTTGAAAAAAAATTTCACGTTTTTTTGAAATTTTACTAATGGCCAAACGCCCACTATGATTAGCTCAAAGTAGAGTCCAACAACTTTCCTTCTTCCATGGCTTATCAACAAATATTTAAAACATTTTCTTTCTTATCTAGAAATGAATAGAACTATCGGAAGATAGACTAATTCTAAGATTCAAAGTTTGTTTATGAAAATATGTATATGTATTTGGAAAAATAGAAAATCTAGAACATGATTCTTTACTAAAAGACACCCAATACTCTATACTAATAGGAACCTCGTGGATGCTACATAACCAAAACTAAAAGATTGGCTCTCAAAATTGTACACATTCATTTTCTGCGTTTCAAGAGCTCTTGTTCCTCGTCCTTCATAGTAGTGTTGTGAAAGGTTTGCTTAAAACGCATTTACTGCTAGGTGCATAAGAGCTAACGTTTTGCCTTGCCTAATCGGCCACCAAAGCGCTAAGGCGTACCCCTCCTAGCAAATAGGCATGGTCTAGAAGAGGCACCAATAAATAATAAAAAGTTCACTTAATTGTAATTAATTCATTTGTCCATGCAATTGTTACTTACGCTTATAATCATTATTCTAAAATTTTATATTTGTTTTTCTTTTTCTTCTTCATTTGTGCCTTTCTTTATGAAAGCTCGCACTTTATTTGCTCTATGCACTTGCAGCCCCAACCGACTTATCATTTTTTGGTTGCATTTTGCCTTTGATAACGATACTTCATAGTACACTATTTCAAGCATTGACTGAGTAATCCAAACTAATTTATGAATTAAAAATTGTCTAGCATAGTTAAATAGAGAGACATGCCAAGTAAGTGATTCACATCTCCTCAAGACCATTTGTACATGAAGTACAACTCCATTAAACAACAGGATCCCTGATATATTGATTGACATGTTGATAGGCTATAAGTAGGCCATTTGTTATTCCTATAAGAGTTGTCCTGTATTTTTTTATTCCTTAGTTTTCTCGCTATTAGGATCTCCCCTTTGTTGCCGTAAAGAGGAATACATTTTTTAATGCTATAAGTAATCCAATATGATCGATTTGGAAAACACGCCTCTTCTTTTTTCTATAACCTGCAATAATAGTTATTCACTGAAAAAGCTTTCATATCCCCTAATATTCCACTTCCAAATGTCATATTTGAATGAATTATATTCGGTCTATGAAGTATTTCTATCATGTTTTGCAATTCAACTTAATAAGGTAAAGATTTTTTATTAATGATGAGGAACCCCCTATATACAAGGTGTATACCAAAAGGTAGAGAACCTATACCGAATATGGTTCCCTACAAAAGATACCCAAACTTCTATACACTGGTGACCTGTTGAGTACACCAAGAAGAAACTAGAAATAAGAGGCTGTTTTCCAATTTTACATATCATTTTTATCCCTTTTCAAGTGCTCTTTTATTTCTCTTTCCATATGACCTATATAAAGGCTATTAGAGCAACATCTTATGTCCTCGATCTTCTCTTACTCCTTTTAAAATCCCAATTATGCAAAGTATATGTTTGATATCACCCACTGTATTCCAAATACATTTAGGACCACGGACCCCAATAATGCAGCCACATAGTAATGTGGCGAGAACGTCTAAGTCTTCGCTCGAACATCCGGACATGAAGTACCAACTAATATAAGCGATCCTCCTCTTCATTACGTTTTCCACTGTCTGTATCGCACCTCCTACTGTCAACCGTGCAAAGAACCAGACCTTCCTACGCATCCTAGAGAATTAAATAGGTAAGATATTCCAGGTCGACTCCTCTCACACTAACAATCTTTGGTACCATAACTTGTGAACAAGTTGTCCGCACTCTCCCCATCTCTACAAATACGATATAGCATGCAGTCCATTCTAACTTTTATCATGGAGTAGTACCTCAGTAGAGTCCTGTATGTTATTACTCATACTTATAAGTAGGAGGATAGAAAGGCATTTAGAAAGTTTTCCCTTTTTTCATTCTTATCTCATGCGATGGACTCTGAAATAAGAACTAATCTTAGAATGTTTTCATCATAAATAGTGAAGAGAAGATCTTCTCCCGAGGGACCTGATGACGCACCACCCGTGCAAGCGACGCTGAGGGCACATGGTAGGCCTAGAGCTCAAAGCGGTGTGCAACCTGCTACTCAATCAGGTCTAAAACTGCTAAGGTTACTAAAGGCAACCTACACCAGTTACCCATACTGCTATTCAGGTTCCTATGATTACTCCTCCACCTGTGGTGGAGTCGGGCCGAACAGTCTTCTATTGATGATGATGATAAGGCCACAACGAAGAAGATGGGAGCTTTCTTGAAGCTAAAACCCTCCTAATTTTTACATGTTCCTCTGCTTTGCCATTATCAGTTAGTAAGTAGCAAGTTCAAGTTCAGATTTCCTTTTTTTGTTCATCTTCCACCACATTAACCACTATGTAAGTTAGAAAAAAGCATCGAATTTAAATCTCATCATATTATCCAACTTCAGCAAATTATAGCATCTGCTTTAAGTTGATTTGTTGTCTTATTTTCTTTGTGCCAAGCGCATCTTCCCTTGAAGATTCACCGTAACTAAGTAGAAACAAGCAGAAGGTTCTCCACAAGAACTAAGTGAGTTTTACTAACAACATTGACAAGGTGCACAATTGATAGATATATATATCGGATCAAACAAGCATATAAATTGAATTCCTCTAACTACAAGTAGTTGGTTGAGATATAATTTATGCTACAAATAAAACAAAATGGTCTAAGTAATTCTACATAGTTAATTCCTATTTTAATCTAAGGTAAAAGCAGAGAAAAAGAAAATGCAATTAGAGAAAGCAGTTTTATGATGCTCACCAATGGATTAACATTAGCCAAACCAGTGCCTTCACCAGAGGCAAGAAATATTTCATTCTCAGCTGCCACTTCTACACCTTTCAGGTGATACAAGATCTCTGAAGGCCGGAAAAACCAGTGTACCTTTATCTTCCTGGACTTATCTGGGTTTTCCCATATCTTTATGATTTTACCAATGTAAGGAAGTTGACCTTCCTTGTGCATGTATACACAATCATATAGAGCATACTCCACATCATCATAGGTAAAAGATTCATAAAACTGAACCTCCTTCCTCTTACCACCAATACCTCTCTTTCTACCCCAGACAAATTTAACTTCCTCTTCATTTTCTAGATCCGCCGAAGGCTCTACTTTAACTGTTTCTACCGACGCCATAATTGTCTCCTATCAAGGCCTCTATGTTTAGCCCTTGACGATTCTATAATGACTGTTTCCACCAAGATGCTGATTTTTTCCTCACCGATTAGCCTGAAATGCAAAGTAAGCAGTATTAAATAACTTTTTATTAGTTATACAGAAATAAGTAATAACAAAAACTGACACAAGAACAACTCTACTTACCAAAGGCGGCTCTAGGGTTCAGGCAAGCAAAGCTCTTGCCTTGGCCCCCAAATACTAAGCCCCCAAAAATATAAAGTACTAGTATATCATTATATAATATGTGTAATTTATATAATTATTGATAAAATATTTTAAATTCTAATTTTTATTTAAATTTAGTAGATGTAGAATTGAATGAGTTAATAGCATAAAACTTTTCTCTCACTAAATTAAATAATATATTTATTTTCTCATCAATATATTTTTCTTTCTTTTTTTTTCACATTTTTTACAATTTTACTTTCTAATTTAAAATCAAATTCTCTAAATTAGCTATTCCTTTTTGTCACATTTGATAGATCCTCATATCAGTAATCAAGTTCTTTTGTGTCTCATTTTTTTTTAACTAAGAAATCCCAGAGACAATTATCGTAAGGTTCAAAATACGATCGATAATAGGCTCAATCATTTTACCATTTTCATTTAATGCTATTTTTTTTATAAGGAGTTCAATACCATATGACTTATGCCTAACCCACATATTATACGTTGTTCTCTCACCACTTTTTTTGTCTCAATATTATATGGATATTATGAAAGAAATTTCAGGGTCTTTTAATATATTTTAGTTTTAAGCCACCAGTTCTGTTGAGCCTCCCCCATCAATATCAACAATTATTTATAAACCACTGCCCATGAACGTGTTATTCAACAGTTTCATTCACATTTGATAACTAAATAACACATTTACTGATTGTTGTCTTATCTTAATTGAGACTCTATAAATTTGATTGAGAATAGCAGGGGGATGGACATGTGCCTTGATTAGGAGACTAGTAAAGCTTTAAGTTAGATCCCCAAAATTTTTTAATAATGCATTTTATGATTTTATTTCAAGTTAGACAATATTAAAGTTTGCAAGAAAAAAAAATTACAAATAAACCTTGGACAAAAGAAAGAAAGAAAGACTATCTACTCTTTAACACTAAAAATATTTTAGAAAAAACCTAAAAAGATATTGTGCAGACAGAAATTCTTGGCGAAAAAAAAACGGGCATACCAATGTTTGAGGTTTTGGCCAGAAAAAAACCCTAAAAAGGCGTCTTCTTCAATTTCATGCAAGCCCTTTCAAGATGTCTTCTATTTTTCGTATGATTTACTGTCGTGTTTTGCGATATCAATTAACGCCACCATTTCAAACACTAGCACTAGGATAGAGCAGACGATGAAGGGAAGGTTGGGAGGGAAAAGAAAGGCTGTGAACTGTGAAGAAAGGCAACAATTTTTTACTACTCTCGCTTTAACGTAAATCTATTTTCTTTTTAGTCCGTGCCAAAATTAATTATTATTTTTTATATTTAAAAATAATTTACCTTTATTTAATAATTTATTGAATAACACATAATTAATCCCCGGGATTATCTAACTTTACCAGTTGTATCCTCCTACTTTGTGACCCCCTATATTTGTTAGAAGTGTAATGAATACAAACTTTACAAGTCATCCCCAATTTCAAAAGAAGTGCAAATCACGTGTCAATCTTTGCGTGCCACGTGTCAAATTATTTTATTTTTAATTTTTTTCAGTTGACCTTTTTATTTGTCTTTTTAATCTTATTTTATTCTTTTTCTTTTGCATTTTCTTTCTCTATCTCTCTTTATTCACCATTTTTGATCATCTTGTACCCATAAACTCCTCTTCCCCCCCCCCCCTCCCCCCTCTCTGCTCCTTGTTGCCGACCACCTTGCATAACCCACCGAAAAACTCTTATACTAGATCAAAAGGTTGCCGAAAATAATAGACATGATAAAATTGTGAGGCCTTTTGAATAGCGTAAAACTAATCTTCTAAATTTATGGGAAACAAGACAATAAACAATGAAGATAACTTGGCAGAAAGATGATGTCGCTGGAATCACCATTTTTTCGGTGAGAAACATTGTAAAGGAAAAAAGGGGAAAAAGAAAAAGAAAGGAAAAAAAAGAAAAAACAAAATAAAAATATAGAAGAAAAATAAAAAGGAGAAAACGTAATTGTAAAAACAAAATTTGCTCTACGGGAATCATTAGCTTATCCAGCGAAATACTACAAGTAATAAGACAAATATAAAAATAAAAAAGAAAAGAAAAAAGGAAAAAGTTAAGGCATCAATAAAGAAAGAACATAAAAATAGGTAGAACAAAGAAAAGAAAATGGAAGAAGCTGGTTAGGGGTGTGAAAATGGTGGATGGAGTAGTAAGGGAGAAGTAAGCAAGAAAGAGAATAAAAGAAAAGAAGAAACAGATAAAAAATAAAATTTTAGGGCTTTCACGCGCAATTATCAAGTGCAAGTGCCACATCAGCTCAAAAGATGGTACTTATTACACTTCAAACAAATGCAAGGGGGTCATAGAACCCCCGCAAAGTATTAAGGATGCAACTGGTAAAGTGAGATAATTAGAGAGGGGTAATTATGTATATTCTATAATTTATAGCCATAGAATACATATGCCTTATTTTACGCTACAAATTCTAAAGTCTTCTCTAGTTTCTTAAACTACGTGCCAGTCAAATGGGTTCACATAAATTGAAACAGAGATAGTAACTTTTTTGAAAAAAAATCCAAAAAAAGGGAATAAGGGAAAAGAAATTTGAAAAATCAAAGTGACAAAAACTGTGTGGAGCTGTGACTCAACATTTATTTTTGTTTAGTAGTGCTAGGTCTCATATTTATTAAAAACAATTATTTTAAAAAACTCTTTTTAATCATTCACCTCCTAATTGTTTTTTTCCTCCCTTTTGATTTCCTATTGCTCTCCCTTGTTTAGCTATTGTGACAACCAGGTCAGTCGTCTCATGAGTTACCGCTCCGTTTCTCTCATTTATGCTTCTTTATGCTTTGTTATCCGTGTTTTGTGGTATCGGGTTGGTCGGATCGAATCCGGAATGATTTTGGTAAGGTATGAGACACTTAGTCTCTTTTAAGGAAGTTTAAGTTGGAAAAGTCAACTGGATGTTGACTTATATGTTAGAGGGCTCGGCTGTGAGTTCTGATGGTTCGGTTAGCTTCGGGAGGTGATTTATGACTTAGGAGTGTGATCGGAATGAGTTTTGGAGATTTGGAGTAGTTTTAGGCTTGAATTGGCGAAGTTGATATTTTTGCGATTTTCGATTGATAGGTGAGATTTTGATCTAGGGGTCGGAATGGAATTCCGAGAGTTGCAGTAGCTTCGTTATGTCATTTGGGATGTGTGTGCAAAATTTCAGGTCATTCGGACGTGGTTTGGTTGGGTTTTTGATCAAAAGCGGAATTTGGAAGATTTTAGAAACTTATGCTTGAATCCGATGTGTTTTGGTTGATTTGATGTTGTTTGAAATGTTTTGAGGATTGGAACAAGTTTAAATAAGGTTTTAGGATATGTTGGTGCCTTTGGTTGAGGTCCTGGGGGCCTCGGTTGAGTTTCGAGTGGTCAATCGGATCATTTTAAAGTTAAGGAAGTTGCAGATTTTGAGTTCCAGCAGTTGCAGACATTTTGGTCTTCGCGTTCGCGAAGAGTTAGCTGAGGGAGGTGGAAATTTAGCCTTCGCGTTCGCTGGCAGGTGATGCGTTCGCGAAGGGCTGCGAGATTGCGCATCGCGTTCGCGGGCGTGTAGTCGTGTTCGCATAGAAGGAATTTAGAGGCGGAGCTTTAGTGAAATTAACCCATCGCGTTCGCGATGGATGGAACGCGTTCACGAAGCTTCATCTGGGTAGAGCATCGCGTTCGCGAGGGTCAGGTCGCGTTCGCGTAAGAGGATTCTGGTCAAAGTTATTTTTGTGCTTCGCGAACGCGAGGGTTCGGCCGTATTCGCGAAGAAGGAAATTAAGGCCTGGGTAGAATGTTTTAAGGGTCGTTTTGTCCGCGAAGGTGGGGTTTATTTCTTCCATTGTTGGTTGTTTTTGGATCTTTTTGATGGAGATTGAAGAGGGATTCAAGGGCAATCACTTTGAGGTAAGATTCTTGGACTTAAAACTCGACTATTATGTGAATTTCACCTAGTAAATCATGAAAATTAAGCCAAAAGGTGAAGAACTAGGGCTTGGAAATTTAGACTTTTGATTGGGGATTTGAAGGACCATTTGGGGTCGGATTTGAGAACTTTTGATATGTATGAACTCGTGGGAAGATAAGGAGTCTATTGGTGTAAAAATTTCTGAATTTTGAGACGTGGGTCCGGGGGTCGGTTTTTGGTAATTTCGGGATTTGTGCCCTTTATTGATTGTTTTCGCTTGGGCTTTGTTCCCTTAGCATATTTTGACATCCTCGTTTTGATTTTGGATAGATTCGACGCGCGTGGAGGCCGATTCGAGGGGCAAAGGCATCGCGAGCTAGAGATTTAGCCGGTTCGAGGTGAGTAATGATTGTAAATGATGTTCTGAGGGTTAGAAATCCTGGATTGCACATCGTAGTGCTATATTGAGGTGAGGCACACGCTTGATGACGAGCGTGGGGTCGTGCACTATTGGGGATTGTGACTTGGTCCGTCCCGATTCATGAGTTTACCGCGTATTTGACTGAAAACTACTTGATATCATCATTATTTGGGCTGAATGCCATATTTGGGCTTCGTGCCAACTATTTGAACCCTTCGGGGATTTTTATTGATATTTCCTCACTGTTTTGACTTTATTTTTTAACTCAGTCATGTTATTTTCCACTATTTTTCATACTCAGCCATGTTTACTCAGTTTTTAGACTTAAATGATATTCTAAATGATGTTTGGGCTAAAAAACACTATTTTACTATTGACCGAGGGGCTTGTGAGGATTTTTGACTGAGTAAGGCCGAGGGCATATGTTGTGAGGAAACACTGATACTGATTTGAGGCCGAGGGCCTGATATATGTACGCCACGAGGTGGCTTGATTGATATGAGGCCGAGGGCCTAGTTTTGATGCCACGAGATGGCTTGTTATTGCGCTAGGGCCGTAAGGGTCCCCTCCAGGAGTCTGCACACCCCAGTGAGCGCGGGTACCCATTGTGATGAGAGATTGAGCTCGAGGGGCTGGTATTGTTCTGAGATGTTGCCCGAGGGGCGAACTTCTATTTGTTTACTTTACCTTAACTGTCTGTCAATTACCTATTTATTG